AACAATATAACATGTGGTAGAACTAGTCACATTATAACTGGAGTTACATTAAGTATGTGCATTAAATGGAAGTATAATTGGAAAACAAAATACTCTATTATTTTCAGATCATATTATGATGTCTGTATATCAGATTTCTTACACTCCATGTAAAAATGGCATGGGGGCACTATCTGACCTCCTGTAACTTCACAAGGGGAAAGAGAATCAAGATCAACAACCCAAGGCTGATTCCTGTGAGGCAGAGGTCAGACAAACCTCCCTTCTCTGCCATCTTTACTAATTCTGACACCAACCGTCCTTCCTTACTTCTCTGCTGAGCTTGATAATTCATTGCAGTGGCCACGCAGAACTCACAGACCATACTCACAGTTATGGGATTTATTAGGGAAGTAACTGGTTACAATTCAGGTTCATGAATGCTCAGGATACAGTTCTTCCATCAGGCTAGCCTCTTCTCAACTCTGCCCACAGGCAGGCCTCTCTCTGGCCTCTTGGACTCTGCCCTGTTCGGCAAGTGTTACAAAGCTCTTTTGTGTCTCCCAATAAGTGCCTGAAGGCATCCCATACCGCCAGTAAGCCTTAGCCCAAAAGCGCTCAGCTGTAGCTCCTTGGGTTGACAAACCTGACTCCACTAAGTTCCTAGAGGCACCCTACTCCACCAGCAAGCCTGCTTCCTGAAAGCACTCAGTTTTCTCGCTCCATGGGCTGGGTCACACCAACTTCTGTTGGTCTCCTGATTCTGCTGCTGTTTCTCTACTGCTGCTTCTCACCATCTTCAGTGCTACAGCCTTCTCTCTCTTTCAGTCTGTCTCTTTCTGCTGGTTCCAGAAGCTTCTCAACACAGGGATCCCAGGTCCAAAAGATGTGCTCTACTCCTAGCTCTTCTTTCTTGGTTTTGGTGAGATTACCTCCTCCCTCTTCTGGGATGGCTCATTTTAAGCCTTGCAGGATGGCAATACTGACCAATCCCCTTGTTAGGGTTCCATAGACTTAATTTGCATGGTCCCACCTCCACAAGGTTGCCATGAATTTTACTTGCATTATTGGCAAGGTATCCAATTCCCTTGGATACTTTGGTGTGCCACAATTAGCCTATTCGTCTATTTCCACCCAATCACTTAGGTGGGAGTTACAAGACCATGGCCAGAAAGGCCACATAAAAGTGATCCATCCCATCACATTCCCCGTGCCAAGATTTGTTGTGCCTTTTTTTCTTTCATGTTTTATTGTGGTGTGATGAATCGCTTTTATGTAACTTTTCTCGACAAGGTCTTTTAACTCCCACAAAATGATTTGCTAGGACTATGCAAGTAAGGCATTCAACTGTGCAGATCATAACAAATTATGGATAACATTGCAAAAAATGGGAATTCCAGAACACTTAATTGTGCTCATGAGGAACCTGTATCTAGATCAAGAGGCAGTTGTTCGAACAGAACAAGGGGATACTACATGGTTTAAAGTCAGGAAAGGTGTGCATCATGGTTGTATCCTTTCACCATACTTATTCAATCTGTATGCTGAGCAGATAATCCAAGAAGCTGGACTATATGAAGAAAAACTTGGCATCAGGATTGGAGGAAGACTCATTAACAACCTGTGTTATGCAGATGACAAAACCTTGCTTGCTGAAAGTGAAGAGGACTGGAAGCACTTACTGATGAAGATCAAAGACCACAGCCTTCGGTATGAATTACACCTCAGCATAAAAAAAAGTCCTCACAATTGCACCAGTAAGCAACATCATGATAAACAGAGATAAGATTGAAGTTGTCAAGGATTTCATTTTACTTGCATCCACAATCACCACCAATGGAAGCAGCAGTCAAGAAATTAAAAGACTCATTGCAGTGGGCATATCTGCTGCAAAAGACCTCTTCACAGTGTTGAAAAGCAAAGATGTCAACTTGAAGGCTAAGGTGCGCTTGAACCAAGCCATGGTATTTTCAGTCACATCATATACATGTGAAAGGTAGACAATGAATAAGAAGCCTGGAGAAGAACTGAAGCCTTTGAATTGTGGTGTTGGCAAAGAATATTGAATATACTATGAACTGCCAAGAGAACGAACAAATCTGTCATGGAAGAAGTACAGCCAGAATGCTCCTTAGAAGCAAGGATGGTGAGACTATGTCTTACATACTTTGGACATGTTGTCAGGAGGGACCAGTCCCTAGAGGAGGTCATCATGCTTGGTAAAGTACAGTGTCATCGAAAAAGAGGAGGACCCTCAACAAGATGGATTGACACAGTGGCTACAACAATGGGCTCAAGCATAACCACGATTGTGAGGATGGCGCAGGACTGGGCAGTGTTTAGTTCCGTAGTGCATAGGGTCGCTATGAGTCGGAACCGACTCGACGACACCTAACAACAACAACATGCAAGTAAGGGGCTTGTGGCCCACCAAGGGGGATTGGACAGCTTGGTAACAACGAAAATAAGTGCATGGAATGCTTATGGGGGAGGGACCAAGCAAATAAGGTGTATGGAACCCTAATGAGAGGATTGGTCAGTTTTGCCATCCCACTAAGCTTAAAATGAGACATTCTATAGGTGGGAAGGGGGGACCTCACTGCCACCAAGAAAGAAGAGCCAGGAGCAGAGTGCATCCTTTTGACCCAGGGTCCCTGTTCCTAGAACCTCCTAGACACAGGAGACAAAGAGAGCCATAACACTGGAGATGGTAAGAATCATCAAGAAGCAGTGGCAGAGAAATGGCACTAGCAGAAACAGGAAACTGGCACAAGACAGCTTAGAGGGCTTCCAAGCCCACTGAGTGAGGTGGCTACAATGGGTGTGACGACCCACAGAGCGAGCGAGCTGAGTGCCTTTGGGCAGGAGTTTTCTTGGCAGAGTGGAGTGCCTCTGGACACTTAACGTCAGAGCTAAAAGAGCTTTGTATCACTTGCCCAAGCAGGGCCGAGGTCAACCTGAGCGTCTGAGGAGCTGAGAGAGGCATATGGCCAAGATGCTATCCTGACAACAGAAGTGTATCCTGAGTCCTTCTTGATTCTGAATTGTAACCTGTTTCTTTCCTAATATACCCCATAACTGTGAGTATGGTCTGTGAGTTGTGTGTGACCACTGTAACAAATTATGGGATCCAGCAGAGAAGTAGAGAGTACCTTGGAAGGGATGGCTGGTGTCCGAACTGGTAAAAAGGTTGGAGAGAGGAGGTCAGTTTGACCTCACCTGATAGGAATCAGTCTTGGGCTGATGTTGAATTTGATTCTCCCTCTTCCCCCTGGTGAAGTTAGAGGAAGTCCATCGCTGCCCTTGACATTTTTTTTATACTCAGACATCCTCTTTTATTTCTACTTACATGTAGGCTATAATTTTAGCAACTGTATTTGATGGACTTTTTTTCATTCTAAATTTTGTACTGTACAACAATTTATTTTTAACAACTTGATAACCAAAACCAAAAACCAAACCCTTTGCCATCGAGTCGATTCCCACTATAGCTACACTATAGGACAGAGTAGAATTGCCCCATAGGGTTTCCAAGGAGTGGCTGGTGGATTTGAACTGCTGACCTTTTGGTTAGCAGCTGAGCTCTTAACCACTGTGCCACCAGGGCTCTTACTTGATAAACCCATTGACATAGAGTCGATTGGTAGTCGTATGCATTATTTGGCAGCACAACTTTGTGTTTAATAAATTTATAGAATTGTGTGACAATCACCACAGTGCAAGTTTTATGACTTTTCTATGAACTCCCAAATTATTGGATGTTATGTTCTTAGTGTTGAGTTTTGGGAGTTCTTTATATGTTTAGAATACAAGTCCTTTATCAGATGTATAATGTGGAAATATTTTTCCCAATCTGTGCCTTCTCTTTTCATTTTCTTAAATAGTGTATATAGAAACAAAAAAGTCTTAAATTTTAAATGAGTCCATTTTTTAATGGTCCATTCATTTTGTCTTTTTGCAGAACTCTCTGCCTAAACCATTTTACGAAGATTTTCTTCCACGTTTTGTTAGCTTTTTTACATTTTTTCCTTCTTCAATGTAGGTCTGTGATTCATTTTGTGTTAATTTTTGTGTAGGTTTGAGTGAAGTTGCTTTTCTTACATATGGATATGTAATTATCCCAGTATCATTTGTTGAAAAGACTATCTGCATTGAATTGTCTTGGTACCTTTGGCAAAAAGCTTTGACTCAAATATTTTCCGATTCTTAATTATTTTCCTGCCCTCATGTGGGTTAGGCAATCCCACTGGCTTCAGAACTTTAGTGCCCTTTACTGGCCTTGTCTTGAGTGGCTTTTCCCTTATCTCCCCATCCCAAATATATCCCAGGCTCTTGCCAACAGCTCTAGTCCGCTGGTCTGTGATGGCCACTCTCATACCTTACTAGCTTCTCCAAAACTTCTTCTGTCCTTGAAATGTGCTTCCTGCCAGCTGTTTACTGTCAGAAGCTTTCCTTGGTTGTCGCCTTACCGGCTTTTTGCCTTTTGTGTTTTCCTTCCCAGTAGCGCGTTCTCTGGGTTACTGACACTTGAACTCCCAATTAACGGTTTCAAAAAAAAAAAAAAAAAATTAACATATTACTTCTCTGCCCAGCCACTGAAAACAATTTATCCCGCGCCATGTTGTTTGCAAAGTTCGAGTCTATAAAAATTTATTCATTTTCAGCAATGGTTGAAGTGTCAGGAAACCGGACACTTTTAAGTGGCCTTCTCCTCTTTGTGGCCATTCCTGGTTTAAAAAAACAAAAAACAAAAAACCATTGCCCTGGAGTTGATTCTGACTCATAGCGACCCTATCGGACAGAGTAGAACTGCCTCTTAGAGTTTCCATGCAGCGGCTGGTGGATTCGGACTACCAACCTTCTAGTTAGCAGCCGACCTGTACGGACAGTCTTCAAATATGGCCGCCTTCAGGGAGACATGTCCAATAGGGCGCAGACATATTACCTCCCTGAGCCAATGCCGGAAATCCAGTTGTCCCCGTCTCTAAAAAAAAAAAAAAAAAAAAAAAACCTCAGACCCTCACCAGCCTCCGTAGGCGGAAGAGGACTCTGGCGAAGAGTCCAGAAGTAGAAGCGGCTTATGGAAGTCTAAGCGTAACGTCTCGGAACTTCTTGTGCTTCAGGAGAAAAAACAGGTCAGTGTGTTTTGTCCTTGGAATAGGGCGAAGGAGGTGTGTGGGCGTGGAGTAGTGAGAACGTGTGGAGTTCGTGAGAGGAGCGTCGGAGTGGTGGTTTTGAGGTCAGGAGGGGCGCGCCTTTGTACGTTTAAGGCTGTCTCAACTGTTAGGGTACGGGGTCTTTGCGGATCTTTTTGCTTGTAAGGAGTGGAGGTGGTATTTACGACGAATGCGGTGTCTGGTTCGGGCTCGAGATTTAATATGGGGCTCAGTGAAGTTGGAGCCGGAGGATGAACATCAGTGGGGGGTGTCTGGTCCAGGTGTCACATTAATCCAGGATGGGGTGGGGTTGGGGGGGTCGTCTGTGTCTGTGGTACAGAGGCTTGTGAGGCCTGAAGCTTTGGAAGCCCAGGACCTTGGCTGGTGGTGGAGATGAGGTTGGAACCTGGGCTGCTGGGACAGAAGGGGTACAGTTCCCTGGGCAGTAGTTTGAAATTCTTGATATATATATATTTAATTTTTTAATAAAAAAGAAGACTTTATTTCATAAGTAAAGAAAACTTGATTTCTGTCTTAATGATACAGAACAGTTAAGAGTTTTGATGTTTTCTCTATATAAAACACTTTATAGAATTCACCTGGAAATATCATGAGTTAATCTCTGTTAGGTAAGCGGTTGTCAAACTTTGGCATGAGTCAGCTTCACTTGCAAGACTTGTTAGAGTTCCCTCCCCACCCAGAAGCTTGGGGTAGAACCCAAGAATTTGCATTGTTAACCTGCTCCCAGGTGGTGCTGATGCTAGTGGTCCTAACACCAAACTGAGAAATTATGTTGCAGTAACAAACAACCTCAAAATATCAGTGGTATCCAACGACAAAGTTTTGTTTTCTTGCTCACAATTCATGTTGTCTGTGAATTGGCTGATATTCTCTGGCTCTACTCCATGTGTGGTTTCCAGCCCTGGATCCAGACTTCCAAATTACCATACCTGTATCCGTTGCCATCGAGTCTCTTCCGACTCACAGTGACTCTATGGGACAGAGTAGAACTGCCCCATAGGGTTTCCAAGGAGCAGCTGGTGAATTTGAACTGCCAACCTTTTGGTTAGCAGCCATAGCTCTTAACCACTGTGCCACCAGGGCTCCCAAATTCTCATAGCACAGGAAAAGAAGAAAGGTGAAATTATGCCATGACTTTTACATCTTCTACTCAGAAATTGACTATGTCCCTTCTACTCTCATTGTATTGGCCAAAACAAAACTCAGCATAATGACCTCCAAATCCTTCCATGTTGTGAGATGTTTCTCAGATTCATCATTGTTCTTTATCATTGTGTAGTATTCCATTGTGTGTATGTACGATAATTTGTGAAATGCAAAGTGATAGACCATTTTAGGAAATGATATGGCGCTTCTTTAAAAAGCTAGAAATAGAAATACCATATGATCCAGCAGTCTCACTCCTAGGAATATATCCTAGAGAAATAAGAGTCATCACGCAATAAACATATTCACACCCACGTTCATTGCAGCATTATTCACAATAGCGAAAAGATGGAAACAGCCCAAGTGCCTATCAACAGATAAGTGGAGAAACAAAGTATGGTACATACACACAATGGAATACTGCAAAATTCTTAATTTAGATAATCATGTCTTTTCTCCTTTAAGCCAGTAGTTGGCTAACTACTGATGGAGGGACTAATCCACCACGCCAGTCAGCCTGTAACTGCTTTCGCACTGAAAAAGTAGAGTTGAGTCATTGTGTAGGAGATCTTATGGCCCACATAGCTTCACGTACATGCACATTCTCTGCTTTGCTGACAGCCTGTTTTGTTAATTATTCATACCCCTGGCAAATTGACCCATATTCCAATTTATTAGTAAGCTCTTGTGGGTTCAGTTCCAGTTCCCATTGCTAGTGTTTGGATTGGCACGGAGGTGAGCTTAGGTATATGGAGAAATTCTCCCCATGTATGTATGTAAAGGACATCATGCTTGGTAAAGTAGAGGGTCAGGGAAAAAGAAGAAAACCCTCAATGAAGTGGATTGACACAGTGGCTGCAACAGTGGGTTCAAACTTAGCAATGATAGTGAGGATGGCGCAGGACCGGGCAGTGTTTCGTTCTGTTCTACATAGGGTCACTATGAGTTGGAACCAACTCAAAGGCACCTAATAACAAACAACAACATTTATGTAAAAATCTGCTTGTTGGTTTTTTGGGGAATATTTTTTGCTTGTAAATAGGTAATACCTTCAGTCACTTTTTCCATGCAGAATATTAAGTTGTTTGAAAATAAGCTTAATTTTCTGTCAACTTTCTAATGTTTATTCTTTATCTTTATGCATTGGCTCAGCTCTTGTAAAAACGGCAGGGGGGCAGTATCTGACCTCCTCTAATTTCACTAGGGGAAAGGGAATCAAGATCAAAAGCCCAAGGCTGATTCCTGTAAGGGAGAGGTCACACATGCCTCCTCTCTCCACCATCATTACCAATCTAACACCAACCATCCCTCCCACGGCAGTCTCTACTTCTCTGCTGGGTTCGATAATTCATTGTATTGGCCACACAGAACTCACAGACAATACTCGGAATTATGGGGTTTATTAGGGAAGTAACAGGTTCAGGAATACTCAAGGATACAGTTTTCGATCAGGACAGCCTCTTCCCAGCCGTGCTCGCAGGCATGCCTCTCCCTGGCCGTAGGCTTCTCCCTAAAGGCACTCAGCTTTCTCCATGGGCCAGGAAGCCCACTGCACCATCACTTGCTGCCCTGTCTCTGCTGATGGGTCTCTCCTGCCACTGCTTCTCACTATCTTCAGAGTTACAGCCCGCTGTCTCTCTTGGTCTCCTGCTTCCCGGAGTTTCTCAGCACAGGGATCACAGGGTTTGCCTGTTTTCAACCGACTATAAATGGAATTGTATATAATGTATGTTTTTTGGTATCACGATTAGTTTGCTCAGTATTGTAATTTGGGAGAGTCATTCATGTTACACACAGGTATATTTACTTTGTTCTGTAACCAGAGTTGGCAGACTTAATCTGTGAATGGTTATATAGTAAATGTTTTAGACTTTACAGGCCATGTAAGGTCTCTCATAGAATTCTTTGTTTTCTTTTTTTACAATCTTTTAACAAATGTAAAAGACGTTTTTAACTTGCAGGCTGGCCAAGAGTTTTAGTTGCTCTATAGCATTCCATAGTTTGAACGTGTAGCAGTTTTTCTTACTATGTTTGAGTTGTTTGAAGTTTGGGCTACTACAAATAAAACTGCTTTGAAAATATTGGTACATGTTCTGTGGTTCAGATATGCACTCATTATGGGAGGATGTATACCTAGACTTACACCTCAACAGTTAAATTGTTATTTCAAAGGGCATGTATGATTTCAACCTAATAGATGATGTCTAAGTGTTTTCTAAAGTGGTTGTACCACTTTACAGTTCCCGTAGCAGAATAGTTTTCGCTTTATGGTAAGTGGTTCATGTGGCCCGTTTACACTGTATTTCCGTACCCTGATGTAATCTTATCTTCCTAAAGCTCTACTGATTTGCCTTTCTCATTGAGAGTCATAGTAGACCCAAAATTGATTTTTCTGTATGTTGTGAGGTAGAGATCAACCTTTTTTTTCCCTTTTACATGTATATCTGATTTTCCAAGCACTATTTTTTGAAAAGTCATCTTTTACTCATATCTCTGTAAATTCTGAATCTTATGTTTTATTGCCCAGGGGTGTAAGATGTTCTGGGGTACCAAATAAAGGGATAGTCAACAGTACTGGGGGCTTTGTCTTAAGGTGAGTTCCAGGAACAGTTACGGCATCTGGGCCTAGAGGTGATGTGTCACTCACACTGAATTTTCCTTTCAGCCTACAGGTCCTGACTTCCCAGCAGCAAGAGAACCACTTGAAGGAAGAAGAGGTTCTGGGATTTGAGCATTTCCTTTCTGGGGATACCCTTTATGGGAGTCTGAGATTTCTGAACAGAAATTCATAGTTGATTTGGTAAACACAAAGACAAACATCCCAGTTGCTGGTCATGTCCCAAGAACAACAGAAAATGATCAAGGCTCAGGTGACTTGGTTTGTTTTATGCTTTCCCTAATAGATTTGTATAAGCCTATAAAATATTAGTTCAGTTAATCTGAAATGTTTAAGTTTGGAAAAGTAGGAGCTGGAGAGAAAGAGGCTTGTAATTTAGCCTCAGGTAAAATGTGACTAGGAATATGTTTTTCATAGTATTAACACTAAATTACTTCTGTTGGAAAATAATATGTGATGGGAGGATACTGTGGGTTACGGTAGCTGTCAGCTTGCATTTAATAGCTCTGGCCAACACAAGGGAATCATTATAATTTACATGTTTTTGAGGAGAAAGAAAATCAGTTTCTTGGGGGATTTCAGTATTTCGTGGGACTTTAGTCTTAGTTTCTTTGATGGTTCTTCCTAGAGGTGATGTGGTAGATGGTGTCTGGAGTAACAGCATTCTCGTAAATGCAATAGGAGGCTTTCTATGGTTGTTTCTTCCAGGGTTCCCCATAGACATCTGTAGGAATAGACCAAGCAAACATAGTGGTCACAGGAGACCAATACAATTTAGCCCATGGACTCAGCCTTGTGGTTTTCTAGGTTTATCCAGGGATTAAACCTGAACATTTCTGGAAGATGGAAGCGTTGCACAGCTGTCAAACGACTCTCAATGAACTGGTGTTTTAATACAGATTTGGAAGTAGAGAGTAGCTCTGTGCTCTTGCACACACCTGAGTTTTGTCATTCATTCAGTGAGGGTGATGATAATGGTGCCTATCTCATTTGATTATTGTGGGGATCAGATTAATCTTTTAAAGCATTTTGAAGAATGTCTGGCCCATAGTACATGCTGTGAAAGAGCATCCAGTGCCCCTAGTCTTTCCAATGCTTGTTATTACAGTGTTGTCAAATGTTATAACTTTCAACAGTCTACATGGTCAAATATTTTCTTGTCTTGCCTTCTTCAGTATAGTGAAAACTCTGAGAGCTGGAACTTGACAGGACTGCCTTGTTTTTCTGTGTTTTGCAAGTTTTCTGCCTTTGACAGGGTGCGGTCTTCCCACTTTTCTATCGCTATTAGTGGAAAATAGGAGTTTTCCTACTCTGACAGGTTTTCACCTTACGCAGGTTCCAGCTTTTTCAGGTTTTACTGAATTTTTTAATTACTGGTAAGGTTGAGATCTTTCTTGTGTTGGCCGTTATTATGCAGCATAATGAATAGTCTAATTTCATGGGGAATATGAATCAGGATCAGAACAAAGTTGGCTCCTATGTGGTAGAGGTCAAATACATCTCTGTCTTCCCATTTCTCCATAAATTCTGACGTCATTTGCACCCCCACAGGCACCTTCTGCTTCTCTACAGGGTTTATTTGTTGCCGTGGTCATACTGAACTCACAGACTGTACTCGAGGTATGCAGTTTATTAGGGTAGTGACAGGCTTCAACTCAGGATCAGGATCAGCTGGGAAGTAACAGGAAACAACTCAAAATCCATGTCAGGAAGCACACAGGCCTCCGGTGATCAGCCAGCATGGCTTCTCTGCTAGGCAGAGACTTTCTCTGCTGGGTGGCTGCTATCTCTGCCAGGCAGGTGCCTTGACTTGGCTTACCTTCCAGGCAGCTGTCTTACCCGTCATGCAGGCTCCCTACTGTTGGCCTCTCTGCTGTCAGCCTTTCTGCCACTAACTGGCCCAGCTCATAGCCAGTGTAGCAGCTCACTTGGCTATGCAAATGAAGTGACTATAGACTATGCAACTGAGGTAACTATAGCCTACTATGCAAATGAAGGATCTGTGACATACAGTTCATGCTTTGGTGGGAGGCCATGCCTTGAAATTGATGACAAGTTTGTAGATACAACCAGCTAGCAGAGATTTCAGAGACAAAGAGAAGCAGAGAGAGAGAGGATGCAAGGAACCTCTTATAAGAGCTGTAACATGGACCAAGGGTTGTAACTCTGAAGACAGCGAGTGGCCTGGAAGGGGCCAGAGCAGTAGAACCAGTCTCAACAGGCCTGAAAGGGGCCCAGTGGCAAAGTCAGTGGCCACAGGCCTGGAAGGACCAGTGTAGCAAAATCCAAGAGGAGCCTTTCCTCGGGGTAGAGAGGAGCCTGTCTTCAGTGGGCCAAAAGGACTCTGTCCTCATGTGACTGAGAGGAGGCCTGCATGGCCAAGAGGAGCTGAGGGAGCTCTGCTGCACTGAAGAAGGGAGACTTGGCCTATGTTCTTCCTGATCCTGATCCCGAGTTGTAACCTGTTGGTCCTGATCCTGAGTTGTACCCTTTTACTTCTTCCTTAATAAACCACTTACTGTCAGTATGGTCTGTGTATTCTGTGTGGTCATTGCAATAGATTGTTGAACCCAGAAGAGAAATAGAGAGTGCCGTGAGAGGGGCAGTTGGTATCAGAACTGGTAAATGGTTGGAGGATGAAGGTATGTTTGACCTCTACCTCATGGCAGTCAGCTTTGGGCTGATCTTGATCATTATCCTCCCTGAAGTTAGACAGGTTCTGATGACACTACTACTACTCCTACCATTTTACATTAGGTACACAGATACAGCAGCCCATATAGAGGAAATGAGCAGAACAACTTTCTGCACGTTTCATTCATATCATAAAAAATTACTTCATTAAACAGGACACTGTTATTACAGGAATCACTAACTTTGGAGGATGTGGCTGTGGAGTTCACCTGGGAGGAGTGGCAGCTCCTGGGCCCTGCTCAGAAGGACCTGTACCGGGATGTGATGTTGGAGAACTTCAGCAACCTGGTGTCAGTGGGTGAGGACAGCTCTCCTGTGTCCCTTAGAGGGTCCTCAATCAGTGGCCTTTTTCAGCTGCTGCAGGCTTTGGAGTTGTTTGTGGTGCTCTCAACTGGTAGATTCTCAGTCTAGTCTCTGGCCCTAGATAAATGGGTGTATTCTTCCTACTCCTGAGAGAAAAACTTTTATACGTTCGAGTATTGTTTTTTTCCCAAATGTAACGTTCTGCAGTGTTACAGCATAAGCCCAGTTTAGTGTGTCTAAGTCTTCTGTCATTTCCAACAAACAGGGTATCAAGTTAGCAAACCAGATGCACCCTCCAGGGTGGCACGAGGAATACAACCATGGGGTATATTAGATATAATCCATAATCAAATATTTTCAGGTGAGTAAATGAAAACAAGGGGTGAAGGGTGTGGAAGTCACATTCTGGTCAGAGAAGATCCCACAGCTGTGAGAGGTGTCTGAGCATACATAAACAGAACCTCCAAGTATCCGTCTCCTCACGTGAGACCTCGTGTTCTTTGCAGAAGTTTAGAGAAAAATATAACCCTCTATCTCTTCTGAGATTGGATCCTTTTTTAACTGACATACATCTTGATATTTTTATTTGCATACTTTTCTTCTGTGTAGGATTCTCAAATCTTTCCCTTCTTCACATCCTTCCACCTCTCTTACTATGAAATTCCACCTTCCAGGCCTCTCTCCTAAGAGAGAACTTTGAGTACTTACCTGTCCTCTGAGTACAGCACCTTCCTCCTCCTTTGGGAAATACTCATTTCCCTTCCTAACATCCAACCCCACCTTGGATATTATGTCCCCTCAATAAACTCTCACTGTGCCTTTATCTGCTTCCTTAACTTCTCTTTTATCCTTTTTGATATTCTCCAGAGGTGCTGATGTTAATTTTCTTGTTTGTTCTCTAATCCTTTAAAATTTCCTTTCTGTTCCCTAGAAGAGACTGTCAAATTGACATTTCCCTCGATATTGTCTAACAGACTTTTCTTTATATATTTGTGTGAATAATTACAAATACAAGAATCAACAATATATTTGACTCCTATGAGGCAGGGTCAGAGATATCCCAAATTTCCAATTTCCCCAAGGTGCTGTACCACTCCATCTCTGACACCAGCCACTCCTACTCCCCTCAGCAGTCTTCCCTCCCGTTTGGGTTCAGCTATTTGCTGCCACATCTCACAGAACTTACAAACTGTACTTACAGTTAACTGGCTTATTAAGGAAGTAACAGGTACAACTCAGGATCAGAAAGCATGTAGGCAAAGTCTAGAAGGCTCCTTGAAGTGGAGAGCACATCCCTCGCTTCCTCATGCAGGACAACTGTCAGCTTCACAGCTGTGCAAGCAGGCAGGCCTTTTTCTCTGCCTCACACAACCCCTCTCAGCCACGGAGGCCTCCATTTGGCTGTGCACATCCCTACTCAGTAGTGTAGTAGGTTTCTGCTGTCACTGCCAACTCTACTGCAGGGCACCTTATGGGCCTGTTGCCACTGGCTCAGCTTCTGGGCCCCATTCAGACCTGACAGCCCTTTACCCGCGTTATAGCTCTTTTAGGAGGTTCCTCACCACGACTCTCTGCTTCCCTCTCCTTGCTTCTCGAAAACCTCTCTTGGGTTGGTTGCTTATATAAGCAAACGCCTTTATAAATTGCAAGGCATGGCCCTCACAGCAGGACCACTAACAGTCCTATCCTCTTGATTTGAATAATAAACCAACCAATCCCTGTAAGGTGTGTAAAACAGACCAATCATAGGGCAGACTGCAGCTCAGGGCTAGACAGAAAGTATCAAAACCATCAAGTTATTTACAGCCTACCCAGGAAACGTCAATCAACCTAGACAAAAGTAACAAACCCTCTGGGGTAGAAAGCTAGGGTCAAGTTAACTCCTCAGGGCTTGTGGGGAAAATCTCTTAAGCTGTTTTTGCAAAGAACCAAGGCAAAAGGCCACATAAAGGAACTCAATTCACCGCGATATTTTTCTCATCTTTACAAAACTCCCCTATGAGTTCCCAGTATCCATAGGGAACTAGAATCATCTCTCTGCCAAGAAAACCCCCATCAGTTTAGGTTCTCCTTTAGTACTGTACATCTTAAATCCTAGCTATTCTGGCATAACTTGAATGCCTCCTACCTGCAGGGCCCTGTGCTTTAAAGGTCTCTGCTGTTCCTAATTATTTATCTAGAAAAAAACGTTTTTAATGTCTTTCATTCTCATTTCCAGTATAAACTGGATCATAACTCATGTCTACTTCAATTTAATTTCTTTGTTTAGTATCTAATTCTGCTCTTTCTCCTAGTTCATTGCCTGTGTTACCATTGAATTCACTTCAGTCCTTCAGGGGACTTTTCCCGTTCCAAAGCTCTAAATGTTAGAATGATTAAAACCTTGGTGTTCGTCTTTTTTTAATGAACATGTTTTTTGAACATGGTTTTATTCTGTTCTTTGTCCTTAAATCATATTTATATATTAACGTTTTCCCAATTGTTATCTCCAGTCAAGACTTTTCTCAAGACTGATGCATCCTTCTGAGTTCTTCATTTCTGTATTTGGATATGTCATAACTAACTTAAAGTTGATATGCATAAGCTTGTTTGCTTGAATATTTTATTCTTTTTGTTTATTGTTGTAGTTTAAGTGAAAGTTTACTTTTCAAATTTCTCATACAAAAATTTATACATACATTGTTATGTGATCCTAATTACTAGCTCTCCCTATACTGTGACAGCACACTCCTCCTTTCCACCCCTGATTTCCCATGTCCATTCAACCCACTTCTAATCCTCTCTGCCTTCTCATCTCACCTCTGGCCAGAAGCTGCTCATTTAGTGTCATGTATCAGCTTGAGCTAAGAAGCACACTCTTCACAAGTATCATTTTATGTCCCACAGTTGAGTCCAGTCTTTGTCAGAAGAGTTGGCTTTGGGAATGGTTTTAATTCTGGGTTGACAGAGAGTCCAGGAGCCATGCTTTCTAGGGTTCATCCAATCTCAGACCATTAAGTCTGGTCTTTTTACTAAAATTTGATTCTGTACCCCACCTTTCTCCTTCTCCATCAGGGACTCTTTTGTTTTCCCTGTCAGGGTCGTCATTGGTGGTAGCCAGGCACCATCTAGTTCTTTTGGTCTCAAGATGATGCAGTGTTTGGTTTATGTGGCCCTTTCTGTCTCTTGTGCTAATACTTTTCTTTGTGTCTTTGGTGTTCTTCTTTCTCCTTTACTCCAGGTGGTTGGGACCAATTGCTGCATCTTAGATGGCCACTCGCTAGCTTTTAAGACCCCAGACACCACTCACCAAAGTAGGATGCAGAACATTTTCTTAATAAACTTTGTTGTGTCACTTGACCTAGATGTTCCCTGAAAGCATGATCTCCAGATCCCTGCCCCTGCTATGCCGTCCCTCAAAGCGTTTGGTTGTATTCAGGAAACTTCTTAGCTATGGTTTAGTCCAGTTGTGCAGACTTCCCCTGTAGTGTGTGCTGTCCTTCCCTTCACCTAAGATAATTCTTGCTGAGTATTTTATTCTTCATTGACATTCCTCATCTCATTAAAAGACACCACTATTCCAAGGCTCAGATTAAATACTTAGCAGCAACCCTTGACTCCTCACTTTCTTTACCCCACCCCAAGTCCCCAACCCTGGCAACACTGAATCCATCAGTGAGCCTTCTCTTCCTTCAGAATGTGTCATCATTTCTTAGACCTGTTACCACCCTTTCTCAAACCACTTTTTACAATTTGCAGCTACTTTTCTATTTTTTTTAATTGAAGTAGAAATATACACAAAAAAAATACAGCAATTGAACAATTTCAACATGTGCAATTCAGTGACATTGATTATATTCTTTTAACTTGTGCAACCATTCTTGGTATCTTTTCCCAAATTATTTCACTAGAAGGAACATAAATGGAATGTATCCTAAGCAAGAACTCCCACTTTCCACCTGTCTTAGTTGTCTAGTGCTGCTATAATAGAAATACCACAAGTGGGTGGTGTTAACAAACAGAAATTTATTTTCTCACTGTTAAGGAGGCTGGAAGTCCAAATTCAGGGGGCCAGCACTAGGGAATGACTTTTTCTCTTTGTTAGCTTTAGGTCCTTGTCTCTTTACAGCTTCTGGTTGTTGGCTCCTTGGTGATCTTCATGTGGCTTGGTATCTGTCTTTCCCAGTCTCTGCTTACTTGCTTGTTTTCACTTAATCTGCTATTTTATATCCCAAAAGAGATTGATTTAAGAGACGCCCTACACCAGTACTGCCTTATTAATGTAACAAAGAAAACCCATTCCCAAATGGGATTACAACTACAGATATAGGGGTTAGGATTTACAACACATACTTTTAGGACACGCAGTTCAATCCACAACACCTTCCTCCCAACCCTGGTAATGACCAATACTTTTTGGTTTCTATATTTTTTTTTCATTTATACAAGTGAGATCAATACGTTAATTGTCCTTTTGTGACTGACCTGTTGCATTCCGCATAATGTTTTCTAGGTTCATCCATGTTGTGGCATGCATCAAAACTTCATTCTGCAGCTGCTTTCTTTATATTTTTCCTTGATTTTTTTAGTGGTTTTACCAAAGTGGAATGTAGACTCTGTGAATATAAGGAATATGTTTGTGTACACCCAATACCTTTACTATATATGTATGTGTAAGGTTCTAGTAATAATAGTGCCTGAAATCTTTTAACTTCAGGGGAGAGATGAGAATCACCATCAGCACAAAGTGATGGTGTTTCCTATGAGGTGGAGGTCGCCTCCACTTTCCAACCTTTTTACCAATTCTGATAACACCTGTCCTCCATGCAGCGCTCTACTTCTCTGCTGAGTTCAATAATTCATTGCAGTGGCTACACAGAACTCACATACATAGTTACAGTTAAGTGACTTATTAAGGGAGTAATGGTACAACTGGGGGTCAGGATCAGGAATCATATAGGTGAAATCTCCCTTCTTCTGTGCAGGATAGCTCTCTCAGCTCCTCTCGACTGTGTAAGCAAGCAGGCCCTTCTTTCTGCCATGCACGCTCCGTCTCAGCCCTGCAGACCTCTCTGCCTCCTGAGGACAAGCCTTCTCTAGGCTGACTGAGGACAGGTGTCCCTGCCTTTGGCCTCTCCACTACTAACTGACCCAACTCATAGTCAGTGTAGGAGCTGTGTTCAACTCTCTTAACTGCGTTCTTAGCAGCATGTTTCTGCCTTTGTCACTGACTCTGCTGCAGGGCCCTTGTGGGCCCTCTCGCTGTCTTCAGTGTTACAGCCCTGGACCCATGTTACAGCTCTTTGAGGAGTTTCCTCACCTCCTCTCTCCTGCTTTTCTGTGCTTGCCTCTCTTACCTTTTCTTTCTGCTTTTGAAACCTCTTTGGGGTTGGCTACTTATACCTACAAATTCTTTGTCAGTTTCAAACCAGGGCCACAATTTCTGACCAATCCCTTCTCAGTAGGCCACAGTCAGTTCATTTACATAGTAGGCTACATTTACTTCGTTTACACAGTCTATACTCACTTCATTTGCACACTATATTGACCAATCCCTGCAAGGTGCATACCAGTCACAGGGCAGGCTGCAGTCCAGGGCCAGACAAAAAGTATCAAACCAAATTTTTTACAGCTTACCCAGGCAATGTCATTCAACTGGACAAAAGTAACAAACCCTGTAGGGTAGAAAACTAGGGCAAAGGTAACTCCTCAGGGCTTAGGGGAAAATTTTCTCAAGCTGTTTTTCCAAAGAACCGAGGCAAAAGGCTGCATAAAGGAATTCATTGTGCCACAGTATGATAATTGTTTAGTTTCATATGTAAAATTCTGCATTGTGAAGAAAACACAGCTATACCTAGTGCTTAGTTGTGTTTCAGTCAGAATTTGTGGAATGAATGAATCTGTCCTTCACCGGTTTGGATCAGGTGGCCCTCCAGCCTCTGCGGTGTGTTGTTCACATTGATTTGCTTGTATTTTACCGTCTCTGCATTTTTTGCAAGACCTAATTTAGGTAGCAGCCAAATCTGTACTTCTTTATGTATTATCTAAACTTGTTTCTACACTAACTTCTTTACTGTTTAGATTGTTTATGTTATTGTGTTTTTGCCAGTGTGCAAAGAACATTGTGCTTGGAGTTTTCTTTAACTCATAAAATAGGGTTGTCTTTACAGAGCAACTTCACATCAAAGTATTTTTAAAATAGCTTTATTCTTATTCTAGATGAAGGAATGATTCATTGTTCTCTTCTTTCCTAGGAATTCAGAAAGTCGATCGTCTGCCTGAGCACTTGGAAGATGAAAGCTGGGTGGATGGAAAGGAACAATGTTATGAATATAATGCATTGGAAAATGTCGTTCATTGGTACAAAAGTCATTTTCCTTTAAGGCAAATTCATGGTATGTTTGGCTTACATGAAAAAGCTGTGAAATCAAATTTATCATTAATCAACCACAACAGAAGCTATGAAATAAAGAACTTTGCTGAGTTTAATAGAGATGAGAAAGTCTATCTCCATGCTAACCATGAGAAACTTCATACTGAAATTAAATTCTGTGAGAGTGAAAAATCCAACAGCACTAAGTCCCAACTCATTAAGCATCAGAAAACTCACAAAATAAAAAAACCATATGTATGCAGTGACTGTGGGAAAGCCTTCATTAGGAAGTCTTGGTTTATTAATCATCAGATCATTCATACGGGAGAGAAACCACATAGATGCAGTCTATGTGGGAAAGCCTTCTTTAAAAAGTACATGCTCACTGAACATCAGAAAAGTCATACAGGGGAAAAACCTTTTGAATGCATGGAATGTGGCAAAGCCTTTCTCTATGAATCACTGCTGAATAATCATCAGAAAACACATACAGGAGAAAAACCTCATATATGCACTAAATGTGGAAAAGGCTTCACCCAGAAGGGAAATCTCAATATTCATCAGCGAATTCATACTGGGGAGAAACCCTATGTATGTGGTGAATGTGGTAAAGCCTTCAGTCAAAAGTCAAGCCTCATAGAACATCAGAGATTTCACACAGAAATAAATCCCTTTTTATGCAATAAATGTGGAAAATTTTATTCTCAGAAGTCAAGTCTCAATAGACATCAGAAAATTCACACAGGCGAGAAACACTTTAAATGTGATGGATGTGAGAAAGCCTTTGAGGAGAAGCCAGAGCTCATTGTACATCAAAGATCTCATACAGGAGACACACCGTATGGCTGCAGTGAGTGTGGAAAAACTTTTGCCTGCCCATCTTCCCTTTTATCACATCAAAGAATACACACAAATGAGAAACACGTAGAGTCGATCAAGGGGGAAGACCCTTCTACGTCAAGTCACAGCAAGTCACATACTGGTGATCTCATGCAGGACAAAAAGCCAGTCAATACATTGCCTGTGCAAATGCCTTCTGTGGCAGCTCAGACATCAGTCAACACCAGTGGGTTTCTAACAAATGGGAACATATTCCTTGTGGGACAGCCTGTTGCCAGATGTGAACCCTCAGGAGATAATGGAGAAATTGTACAGGAGAGAAATCTTATGAATGCAGCAAATGTGGTAGTGCCTTTAGTGATTAATTACGTCTTATTTTATGTCACATAAAACGGGTAGGATAAAATCAAACACTGGGGAAGAGGGTTGAGCAAAAATTTCTACCTCATTGTATGGTTACAAAGTGTATCTTGAGGGAAATCATAATGAATGCAGAGACTGGAAAGCCTGGTACACTCATCCTACGTAAATATGTGCTTTGATATCATGACATAATCTGATGTTAACACAAACACATACACATCACTTGTGGCAATTGAAAGTGTGAGTTAATCTCATTGGAGGAAATAAAAACTAAAATTTTTACAACAGAAAAGGTAATTGCTGTCTTGAATGTTGCATAAATGAAAAATGTCATGGGAGATTGCAGTGAAGTAAATTACTTAATATGGCCCTTTTAGCCATAGTGTTTGTGACTCCCACTGAATGATTGGGTGGGCCCGTGCAAATAAGGTGTATGGAACCCTAACAAGGGGATTGGTTTTTCCATCCCACTAGGCTTAAATTGAGCCATCCCAGGGGCAGACAGAGGTGACCTCACAACCACCAAGATGAAGAGCTGGGCTTGGAGGACATCCTTTGGACCCAGGATCTCTGCAATGAGCACCTCCTAGGCCTAGGAGGTAGACCTGTAACACGGGGGATGGTACAAGATGGCAAGAAGAGATGACAGAGAAATGGCAGGAGAAGACTCGAGACTGGTCCAAAGTAGTGCAGTGGGCTTCCTGGCCCTTGGAGCAAGGTGGTTGCAGTGGGTGTTCTGACCCACAGAGAGCTCAGCACCTTCAGGATGAGGCGTATTACGGAGTAGGGTGCCTCCGAACACTTATTGGTGGAGCTAAAGAACTTTGTAGCACTTGCCCCAGCAGGGCAGAGGTCGGGCTGAGAACTTGAGGGCCAGAGAGAGCCCTGCCTGTGGGCACAGTTGAGAAGCTGTCCTGACCAAAGAACTGTATCCTGAGTTCCTGATCCTGGATTATAACTTGTTCTGTAAAAAAAAAAAAACAAAACAAAAAAAAAAACCCTATAATCATAAGTATGCTATGTGAGTTCTGTGTGACCTTTGCAACTAATTATCATACCCAGTAGAGAAATAGAGTGCCTTGGGAGGTATGGCTGGTGTCAGAATTGGTAAAAACGTTGGAGGGTTGTCTTAGGCTGGGTCATCTAGAGAAGCAAAACCAGTAAAACTTATAAATACATAGAGAGAGATCAAGGAAATGGCTTACATGACTGTAGAGGCTGGAATGTCCAAAGTCAATGGATCAGGATAGAAGCTTCCACCAATTCATGTAGCCACAGGGGCTGGTGAACCCAAGATCAGCAGGTCAGAGAACAGGGCTCTTGCTCATAGGCTATGAAGATTGACCAATTCCAAAATTGGCAGGCAAGACGGCAAGGCTTCTCCTGATTCACATAGCTGCAGGGGCTTGTGAACGCAATATCAGCAGGTCGGAGAGCAGGGCTCCTGCTCACAGGCTGTGAAGATTTACGAATCTTTAAGACTGGCAGATAAGCTGATAGCTCAAGTCCCAAGAACTGGAGGTCAGACCAACAGGAGGCAGCCTCAGGATCCAGAGCAATCAAAAAGCCAGAACGTCTGCTTATATTTGGATGCAGACGATACCCCCAAGGAAACTCCTTTTCAACTGATTGACGACTAAAAGCAGATTCCATCGTGGTAGTGATCACATATAAACGGAATCATGGCCCAGCCAAGTTGACATACATCGTAGTCCACCCCTTGTCAACTTGGCCCATGTACACATCTCCTTAAACCATACATAATCTCTAAAGACAATTTTAAAGTCATACTTGGTGCCTAACATGATACAACCAAAAATGCACCAGCCCCGTTTACATCTTACAAGTGAAGAAGACAATATTTGATGCACACATAAAAAGCAGAAATATGACAATTACAGTCCTTGTTTCTACAACTGGTCATGTGGTTGTAACTGGTATTTAGAACTATTTTCTTCCACCACCCATTCTGTATTCCCTTTGCCCTCAGCAAGCATCTCAGCTGGTCATGGTTCCTTGGCTGGTGGGGTGACCCAAACCTTCATTCCTGAAGGGTCTGAGTCATTGGTAGTCATGTCGCAATTGGGTTGCTGTAGTTTTCCATCGACTTTAATCACAGGGCATGGTAGTACTAAGAGACATTGTAAGGAATCTCCTGCATTCCAGACATACTCTTCTTTACCTCCATTATGTAATATCAATCCAATTTCCTCTTGGTAATCAGGATCAATCACACCAGCCAGTATGTTAATTCCCTTCTTTGCCTTTGATCCAGAGGCATAAGGAGCCCAAAGTGGCCAGGTGGCATTCTTAGCTTCCAGTTCAATGGAATCAGTGATGTGTTCCAGGTGGGAGCATTCCTCCCTTTGGAACTAAAACCTGTAGACCTGCAGAGCATAAAGTCACGGGTACAGGAAGCAAAAATAAGTGGGTCACTAGGGGTAATAGTGGTGCCACTCCCATTTCCACCCCTTGATTCATGGACCCATGAATCCTGACTATGGGAGAAACAGCACCATATATTGGACACTGGTTTAGAGCATATATAGCCTCCTGGAGAACATTGCCCCAACCCTGCAAGATATTGCTACCTAGTTGACACTGTAATTGTGTCTTTAGAAGGCCATTCCATTGTTCTGTCAAGCCAGCTGTTTCAGGATGATGGGGAACATGGTAAGATCAGTGAATTCCATGACATGGACCCACTGCCACAAGTGAGTCACAAGTGAGTCTCTTGATCTGAAGCAATGCTGTGTGGGATACCATGACGGTGGATAAGGCAGTCTGTAAGTCCACAGATGGTAGTTTTGGCAGAAGCATTGTGTGCAGGGAAGGAAAGTCCATATCCAGAGTGTCTATTCCAGTAAAGACAAAACACTGCCCTTTCCGTGGTAGAACTGGTCCACTGTAATCAACCTGTGAGCAGGTTGCTGGCTGATCACCTTGAGGGATGGTGGCATATTTAGGACTCAGTGTTGGTTTCTGCTGCTGGAAGATTGGCACTCAGCAGTGGCTATAGCCAGGTCAGCCTTGGTGAGTGGAAGTCCGTGTTGCTAGGCCCATACATAACCTCTGTCCCTGCCACCATGGCCACTTGGTTCATGAGACCATTGAACAATGATGAGAGTAGCTGGGGAAAGAGGATGACTGCTTTCCACAGGACTCGTCATCCTATCCACTTGATTGTTAAAATCATCCTCTGCTGAAGTCGCCCTTTGGTGAGCATTCACAAGAGACACAAACATCTTCACTTCTTTGGCCCATTCAGAGAGGTCTATCCTCATACTTCTTCCCCATAAATCCTTGTCTCCAACTTTCCAATCATGTTTCTTCCAAGTCCCTGACCATCCAGCCAAACCATTGGCCACAGCCCATGAAGCAGTATACGATTGCACATCTGGCCATTTCTCCTTCCAAGCAAAGGGAGCAACCAGGTGCACTGCTCGATGTTCTGCCCATTGAGAATATTTCTCTTCACCGTTGTCCTTCAGGGAGGTCCCAGAAAGGGGCTGTACTGCTGCCGCTGTCCACTTTCAAGTCATGCCTACATATCGCACAGAACCATCTATAAACCAGGCGCAAGTTTTCTTCAGTCAACTGATCATAAGGAACTCATAAGCCCATAGGTGCAGACTGGGAGATGGAAGGTAATGTGACAGGAGTGGAGACCATAGACATTTGGGCCATGTCTTAGGCTGGGTTCTCTAGAGAAGCAAAACCAGTAAACCATACAAATATAGAGAGAAATTTATATCAAGGAAACAGCTCATGCAATTGTAGAGACTAGAAACGTCCCAAGTCCATGGATCAGGGTAGAGGCCTCTCCCTATTCATGCAGCCACAGAAGCTGACAAGCCCAAGATCAGTAGGTTGGAGAGGAGGGCTCCCGCTCACAGGCTGTGAAGGTTAACGGATTCCAAGATGGGCAGGCAAGACCACAAGGCTTCTGATTCACGTAGCTGCAGGGGCTAGTGAACCCAAGAGCGGCAGGTCAGAGAGCAGGGCTCCACTCACAGGCTGTGAAGATTGATGAATCCCAAGTTCGGCAGATAAGCTGACAGCTCAAGTCCCAAGAACCAGAGGTGAGACGATAGGAATCAGCTGTGTGCCAATCGTCATTCTTATTCCTCATATATTTAAACAAATCCTTATGCTACACCACAACTATTTATCCCATTATTTTAAACTCCTTGATAGTTTTTCTGAGCAGTTATACCCAAGTAGATTATAAATAACTTGATATTAATAATTTGTGACTATTAAATTTTAAGATTAAAAAAATTAAAAATTCACTTCCTTAGTTGCACTAGCCACATCTCACGTATTCAGTAGCCAAGTGTGACTACTTTCTTACCTGTTGCAGTTGAGTTGATTCCGACTCATAGCAACCCTATAGGATGGAATAGAACTGGCCCATAGGGTTTCCAAGCTGTGGTTGGTGGATTCAAACTGTGCCACCAGGGCTCCATGAAGGGCGTCTGCCTCATCGTCGGGGAATCAAACCCCAGTTTCCCATGTGACAGGCAGGGATACTCACCACTGTACTAACGAGGATGGCTAGTGCCTACCAAATTGGACAGCACAGACAATAGACAAGACATTCTTGCTCTTTATATGGCTGGAACATGTAGCTCCATCAATTCCATTATCTCAGAAAATTGTATTGGACAGCACTACTTTACATGATTTTGTATTTTCCAGCACACAGAAAAATAACTAATTACATACTGATTTCGAAAGTGGATGAATGATCACATGAACTAATTTAACAGTGTTTTGTCATTGAAGTGAATGAGCCATTGTAAGGCAGTTTACCGAACAGAATCCCTCAGAAACATTTTCATGTGTCATTTGAGAAACCCAGCAACTGAACAGAGAGATGGAAGAACAGAAAAGGAGAAGGATCTCCAGAATAAGTAGAACAATATGCAAAACAAAAACCTTAATCTCTGTGAATGTAGATGGTTGTTTTTCGTTGTGTCAAGTTGATTCTAACTCATGGTGACCGCGTATATACAGAGTAGAACTGCTCCATAGGGTTTTCAAGGCTGTGACCTTTCAGAAGCAGATCACCAGGCCTGTCTTTCGAGACAACTCTGGTTACGTTTGAACCCCCAATCTTTTGGTTTGTATTCCAGTGGTTAACCATTTCTGCCACCCAGGGACTCCAAGAATGGAACAAAGTGTATAGGAGATGAAATCCTTTTGGGTTGTCTTAGAGCTAAACCTTTATTTCAACCTTGAGATTTTCACCATTTCCAAGATCTTAGGTTCTCTGTGACCTGATGAATTGAGACATGTGATTTCTCTTCATCATTCCTTCTCACTTTGCTGTTAATGGGGCTCTTGGACAGTCTTCTCTATATAGAGTTTCTTTCCTTAACCCCATATGGTAAGTTACAGTGAGGGTTGTTCATTGGAAAAGAGACGGAAATTTGCCGTGCTGTTCCTATCTCAGAACTCAGTCTAGAATCCCAGGTTAGTGGGTAATTCAGTACTTCAGAAATATTTTAAAGCACTGTCATTGTACCAGTAACTGTTTTACACACTGGGAATAAGTAGGACAACAAAACAGGCAAATAAACAGCCTTTATGGACCTTACAGTCTAGCAGGGAGTCATACAGTAAGGTGAAGTATAAAATACCAGGAAGCAATGATTGCAATGATGAAAAATAAAGCCTAATAAGTGTACAGATAGTAATGGAGAAGGTATTTTAGTAAACATTTTCAGGGAAGGCTTTTCTGGACAGACGTAATTACAGCCAAGACTTAAGTGTTCTGAGCAGAGCCAACCATGATCAGCT